TTGACATTTTACAAGCATAATTTCTGAAAGTTGGGTGGCACTCATGGCTTCCATTTGTACCAGGAAGCTTTTATTTGGTACAGGCTTATACGAAGTTGCTAAGATTGTTCAAATATCTTTTATTATCTTCAGATAATAAAGAAGTCAGAAAAGTCTTTAGACTTTGTTTGATACAGTGATTTTTGGTAAGCTGAACACAGGCATAGTTGAGGGAAAAAAAAAATATCTTTTGAGCAGACCAAAATGATCATGAAAGTAAAATTTCATATTGGACTTTCACGTGAACTGAGTGAAACGTGAACATAAATATTTTCCAGCTGAAATTACTTGTTACACTTGAGTACTATAAAGAGTAGGTGAGAGAATAAAGTCCAAAATACAGTAGAATTAATATGGTACTATGTTTTATTTATGGAGTGAATTGGCCAGGTATCTATGGATTCATAAATCAACAGTGTTTTGATTCCATCAGGTATTAAAAATCCCTGTTCCTTTGAAATTATCCCAATTGGAAATATCATTCAACATTGGACAATACAGTTACCTGGTATTGCTAAACAGTATTTTTATGATGTTTGGAAGGTTATTGAAAATTTTAACATAGCATTCAAACAGGAACCATTATAAATAACAATAAAAAAAAAACAACTGATGAAAAGCATCCAGAGCAAAACTTGCTTCTCGTATATAAAGGCAAAGCTTCACCAAGATTGATAGAACTGTAGTTACTTATAGGAGAAAGAATTTGGCTTGCTGGATCTGCAGGAAACCAACTATACTGTACATTCCTTGTGCGTGGAACATTAAATTCTCAGCTCTCTAAATATTTTAAATAAAATAAAGTTCTTGCTCAAAGTTTTTGTGGCATGATTCCCAGAAAGGATTTACTATCTGAGATTTGCTCTTTGCAACTCTGTTCCACAAAGATAATGCCAAACTTCTTTTGCAGAAAGTTTCTATTCTGTTGTGTGGAATTTGAGAGACTTCCATTTATGCATATGAATAAGGAATCTGCATATGACAATTCTTTCTACTGGTTAAATTGGTAAAATAATTCCCTTTTCTCATCAAATACATGCCTCCTTTTGGTTACTCTGGAAAAGATGAAGTGTCAAGCATAAGGTTTTAAATGGTTGTCTAGATGGCAGAAAATACATATCAGTAGATTGTGAACACCTTACTATCTTGTGGGTGTTTGGCCTGAAATGAAGTTAAGACCCAGTAAAAAAAAAAATAAATAAGGAAAGCAAGTTTTAAATGTAAGTGTTGCAGAGATAAAACAAAAAATAACTTTCCCAGGAAATCTTGCTTCAGCAAGTGGAAAAACATGAAAAGTTTCTGTTGTATAAAATTTGAGTTGAAACTTGTCATGCAATTAACATGCATATTCCCTAACATAATAGTTAAGGAGTAACCAGTACAAAGCTTTACTTTAATTTTTTTAATTGCTCAATCTTTAAGACTGGGTGAACTCTAAAGTACTCCTGAGGAATTTGAGTCTGAACTATGGCCAAATCTTTATTCATCATGAAAAGCCCCATCAAGGCTGACTTCCAACGACAAAAAGCCTATCCAGAGCTAATTTAGTTGATTACTGAATCCTAGGGCATGATTTTCAAAAGAAAACAAATCCTGGAAGATTCCGAGCAGTTTCCCAAGTACTTCAGTATGTGCACGTACTCGGCGTCCTGTGGAACACAGCCTACTCTATAATCTTGCCAAGTCCTGATGATATCTTCAAAGACACTGAGTAACTTCTGTTTCACAGAAATCAACAAGGATTTGTAATGTTCAGCTGGATTAGGTCTTACATTTGTTCCATACGTTTCTGTACATACAAACACATTTTGCTTTGTGAGCATCCTGTTGAACAAGCATGTTTAGCTCCTGAAGACTTTCTGTATACATATCTCCTGTCTGTTTTTGTGACTTGCTGACATACATCTCTGGAAAATGAGAGAACAGAATGGGGGAAGCCCATGTTGGAAAGTTAAACTTTGGCTTTAAGAAACAAGGACCAGAACAGGAAGAAAAAAACCAGGAAAGAAAACTTAATGTATAAAATGTGCTCCAAATCAATTGCACAAATTTACACTGATACCACTGGAGCAAGGATTTCTCCCCAGATTAACAAGAAACTTTGATAATTTGCAAGGTACTTTTCTGACTGGGATACAGGAAGGAATACTTTGTGTCACTTTTTCCAAACAACATAAAGGCTGGAAGCCATTATAATATTTAACACTGGTGTTGGAGTTTATTATGTCACACAAGACCTATTGCTCATTATCAGATAGACAGGTCAACCTAATAATTTTCTGGATGACAAAACCCATATGATTTGAATTGGCTGTAAGTGTTTGCACTGATCCTTGAAATTCTAAGTAACCAATTTGTTAAATGGCTGTTAATCACTCAGATCATAAGGAAGAAGCTGATGGTATGCAGATGCTGTTCTTGCATGTGATTTAGCACACCTTTATCCCTTTTCGTTTCCCTGCCCCTCTCATTGCTATGAAATGTAAAGTAAAGCCCACATCTTACTCCCCAGCTCATCTTTATACCATGATTCTGCTGACAATGGACACCTCTTGTCCCTTTTGTCACCTAACATTTTAGTAGTCTATGAAGTAAGTGGAGATACATTATTGTCTCAATAGGTTTGGAGTTGTGTTTTGGAGATGAAGGTATGCCAATTAATTAAAACCTTGGTGCTTTACACATGCATTGTTGTATTGTCTATGTTGTGAGTGTATAACAAATAGAGCCAGAAGTCATTACAAATTGCTTACTTGGGAAAACCAGGTATTTTGCCGTAAGCCTGTGCCTCAACGGTTAAATGCCAAGTATGTGGTATTCCAGTTGGAGAGGATTTTGGATCATGAAACGGGATTTGGAGTGTAATGAACTTCAGCAATGCTTGAATCCAGTTCCAAACTTTGCAGTATAGGGACCATTTTGATGCCAGCTTTTGTAGCAGTAGTTTGTACTCTATTGTATGGAATTTGTGCAACTTCCATCAAGTCACAGAGAAACTGAACATATGCTGATTCCTCCTACTGTCTGAAGTAGTGAAATAGTTCCTTTAGTAAGGACAAGATATCTATACTTTTTATTTGAGCACATAGTGATTTTGGTCAGTTGCATGACTGTCTTGTGTATGTGTGTGTGTAGTCACTGTATTGCTACAACATGACCTATCAAACTGCAATTTTTAATCGTTCTTAAATAAACTGCTAGTTGAAAAAGAAGATTAGCAACAGGCTAGTTTCAGATCAACAGTGCCTATAGCAGTTAAATGATGCATTTTAGTCCAACAAAATTGTTAGTTTTAATGTTTTTATTTTACAATTAAAGAGGAAGTATTTAAAAGAAACACTTTTAACAATGAAATTTGGTAGATTTTATGTGAGATAACTAGAAGATATGAGGCCACATACCCACAGAAGTAGCCAGTAACAACAGAATATATACTATTTCAAAATAAGCCACAAAGCAAAATCCTTTAGCTTTCTTCTTGAAAATTGGGAATTACTGTACATCATTCTTTTAAAACCCATAGTTCCACAGATACTAGAGAAGGAACCACTTGTATAAACATATTATCTCCCCTTGTTAATGGGACTTTTTCATGAATGCTACTAGTTTAGTTTTTAATGTCTCAGAGCAAAGAAACTCACTAATTCCCTCAGTTGACTATTCCTTAATCACCACGTACTCCAAATGACAAGAATCTTTACTGAAGCAGGCCAATACTCCCCTAGATTTTTCACCCTATAGAGAGGAAATTATGGGAACTGACTGGTGATTTTCTTTTGTTGAAATTTCATTGCAAAAGCAAAGTCCAGTGGTTTATTTTAATTGAAAAGTTTTTATTATAATTTCTGTTGATTCCACTCAATGCCACCTACACTTATGGGACTGCCAAGAGCCTTGAATAAAGAGCAGGACATAGTTTTGCTGCACAGGAGTAAATCAGGGAATGAATCTTTGTCAGAGACATGGACAGTAAGATTGAGTGGACCCTAAGCAAGTCTGACGATGATACCAAGCTGTGTAGTGAGGTAGACATGCTGGAGGGGAAGGATGCCATCCAGAGGGACCTGGACAGGTGGGAGAGGTGGGCCTATGCCAGCCTTATGAAGTTCAACAAGGCCAAGTGCAAGGTCCTACATCTGGGTTGGGGCAATCCCAAGCACAAATACAGGCTAAGCGGAGAATGGATCAAGAGCAGCCCTGAGGAGAAGGACCTGGGGGTGCTGATTGACGAGAAGCTCAACATGAGCCAGCAATGTGCGATAGCAGCCCAGAAAGCCAACTGTATTCTGGGCTGTGTCAGAAAAAGCGTGGCCAGCACGTCAAGGGAGGTGATTCTGCCTCTCTACTCTACTCTGGTGAGACCTCACCTGGAGTGCTGCATCCAGCTCTGGAGCCCCCAACATAGGAAAGACATGGATGGACCTGTTGGAGCGGCTCCAGAGGAGGGCCGTGAAGATGATCAGAGGGCTGGAGCACCTCTTCAATGAGGACAGGCTGAGAGACTTGGCGTTGATCAGCCTGGAGAAGAGAAGGCTCTAGGGAGACCTTACTGTGGTCTGAAGGGCGCCTACAAGGAGGCTGGAGAGGGACTTTTTACAAGGGCATGTAGTGATAGGACGAGGGGTAATGGCTTTAAACTGGAAGAGGGTAGATCTAGATTCGATACTAGGAAGAAATTTTTCACTCTGAGGGTGGTGAGGCACTGGAACATGTCGCCCAGGGAAGTTGTGGATTCCCCATCCCTGGAAGTGCTCAAGGCCAGGTTGGATGGGGCTTTGAGCAACCTGTTTCAGTGGAAGGTGTTCCTGCCCATGGCAGCTGAGTTGGAACTTGATGGTCTTCAAGGTCTCTTCCAACCTAAACCATTCTATGATCCTATGAATTATGTTATGAGAGGCATAATGCAAACCCTTGTGTATCTTCACTCCATGGGGGAATTGTGTTGTGCCAACCTGACTTACTTTGGGACTGGCACAATTTACCTCTTGCAACGCCTCTCCTTCCCGTATCCCCTTAACATGGAGGGAGCGGCAGTTCTGCAGCAGTGCTGTTCTTTCAGGCATGGCTGAGAATTTGGAGTACCCTGAAGAAGAGGGTGGGGGCGTTGGAATTAAACCCTGGGGATTTCTATCACACTTCTTTTGCAGGAAAGCATCAGTGAGACGTGGATGTTCGCAAGTGCTAGCAAGACTTTGTCGACTGTATTTTCTACTGTAGCAAGATCTCTGCAGGTCATACATTTGGCTCAAGTGTTGCTTCTGACCTCTCTGAGGTGGTTCACAACTCAACCATATGATGACCAACTTCTCTGGTTTTTCCTTCCTTGTTTTCTTGACAGGAACAGAGTGTATTTCGGCCTTTTACACACCCTTTTTCTTTAAGATTGAGGGTTGATGGGGTTTAAACCTGACCCAATTTGCAATGATGCTTATACTACTGCCATGTTATCTCCTTTTGGGTTTGCTATTCGTACCCTTTTGGGGTCATTTTCATTTGCCTTCTGATTTTTAGCACATTGAATTTGTATTTTCAAGATCTTCTTTATACCTCTGACAAGATTTTGTTGTGACTTTAGAGAAATATTGAAGTTGAAACATTTATGTTAATAGATGACCTCAAATGCTAGAAGATTTTTTTTAATTATTAAGTAGAATGAGCTGCTTTAAAAATACCTGGGGATGTTGGCTGGCGATGGATTTCCTGAAAGTCATTAATATTTTTTTAACCTCATTCCTGGCTATGGCATGCAATAAATGAAAAATTATTGTCGATAATCTATGTGACCTTTTGACTGTCACAGCAGATTCACATGAATGTCGTGCGGACAGGCTGGGTGGAGGGGACAAAGTTGGAGGTATCTGCTCTGCTCTGGAGCTGTAAAGGGGCAGGGGCTGTAGCGGCCCCCGCGGCGGGGGAGTGTTGGGGGCACTGCATGAGCCTCGGACCACAAGATGCCACCCAGGTGGCCGTGACTCGTGTCCCCGTGGGCCAGGAGCCCCTCACCCCACCCCGCTAGTCCCTGCCCTCGGCCCCCTGGGCATCAGCGGAAAGGGGGGAACACAGCCC